TTTGTTGCGGGCCACGTGAGCGAGCGTGTTGAGGCTTGGGGAATTTCTGAGAAGCGAAGAGCGCGCGTGTATTACTTAGACCGTCGCTCGAGCTACACGACTACGCGGTCGCCTGAAGTTCTGACTTCATAGGCTGCATTTACATGGTCTGTGTTTACATGGATGCGACCCTATCACATTGAATCGAGATTTGACCGTCTTTTTTATTTGTTATTGTTTTTGTAGCAGTTTGGTAGAAGAACAATAACTAGGGCGACAGGCTTCGTGTGATTGATCTCTGCACGATTCATTGCACGACGATCGCATTAATGCAAAGGTAGCAATAAACCCGACCGTAACACATCGAATCGGAATCTGACTATTTTGATTGGTAGTAGGTTTGTAGAAGAAGAAGTAAAAAGGTAGGGTGCGTGTGAATGGTTTCTGTCCTATTCGATGCGATAATATCACATTCACTTAAACCAAGCCGTAGCCAGGGAAAGTTGTGCTACAGTTGGGCCGAAAAAATGGCGCACTGCACGCACCGTAGCTCGACTCGGGGGGCGTGCGTGATATTTTTTGCCGGATAAAGGCAAGATTTTCTCGCAGTCTAGAGGATGCGTCTGATTTACCCCAGCTAAAATAATCAAAGTCTCTGCATCAGATGTTTGATGTCGTATCTGTGAGATCGAGAGCAGACTCAGATTAAGCACGATAGAGCCACTGAATGTCCTACGCTTAGAATATCGGCACCTTGTTCCCAGGTATTGTGGCCGCCGCCGCAACCTTGTTGCTAATTGCAGAACAGACGCAACTCCCGATCGTCATGATTTAAAAGTGCGAACTCATCAACATCAGATTTGGTGTTAAGAGGCCCGTGTAATATTGGTTTGATCTGTCACAAACTGTTTAAACAATCATGCATGATGTAAAAACGTTTTCTGTGATTTCAGATTAATCTTCGGCAACCATGAATTTCAGCACCAAGATGGGTAAGTGCCGCTGCTTTGAAGCGTTGCTTATTTAATGGCTCTCGGACACGACCATAGCGTCAACGTTCGGTTGGAAGCCTTGTCCGGACAACGCGACGAAAGTCGCTCAGCGTCGGGCTAGGGCCAAATTAGGGAATTGGCACCATTTAAGTATATAATAACCCACCGTTGAAGAAGATTAACTCGTTTCCAGGTATTTCTGAGACGATGAGACGATGCGCGCCTGATTTATTGATGCCATGTCAATGCGCAATGCCTCATTGGCCGCTGCCGCACGCCTTCCTTTCACCTTCAGGAGTATATGACCGCGCCTGAAGCCGCGAGCAGCACCACGTGACCCAGAGCTCTGGAATCAAGGAAACCCGAACAGCCACATTCTCTCAGTGATGAATTGATTCTGACATGTTGTAGCCTCCTCATGATACGATTCGGCTTTTCAGTGGCCTAACCCCTTTGTTTGCTTATTTCACGTTTTTGTTTAATCTTATTCATTTATTCGTATTGCTTCACTCCATTATTATCCCAGCAGGTCAGGGTATTGACATTTTAAATTACACTGTGTCCCTCTTCCCAACATTTATCACATTTATCTTTGTGAAGGCTCGTCTAGGCCCGTTTCAGTTCATGGGTGTACCGGTAAGGCGAGAGAAAGTCAGTACCGGCGGCGGTAATCTGGCGCGTGTCTAAAGCGTCTATGTACTGAAGGCTTAATTTAACCAAAAGTGCAAGCGAAGCCGAAGGCACGAGCACAGTCTTCCTATGGCCTGGACTGATGTCACACCAGCTGCTTTTGTTGTTGTTGTTGAGCCGTAGTGTTGGGCATGTATCCTTTGCAGAGTAAACTATGTACTCGCAGTTTATTTTTGCAAGAAGTAAAATGCATCATTATAAGAGCTTTCCAGTAACATTGGTAGGCTGGTTCATTTGGTGCTTTTGCGCTATCTTGAAGAAATTTTTTAGAATGAATCTAGGGCAAACGACCCGTTAAGTTTATTTACACAAGTACGCCAATACCAGGACAATTAGGCTACCGGTCATTTAGCACGCCTCTAGCACGTAGTACCAGTCGTTCTGTCACTTTGTTACCCTATAATAATCTTAATTTCATAATTGCTCTAAAATGCGCTCAGAAGAGTCAAAATGGTCATATTTTTCAAAATTATCAAACATCTCTAGCGTTTTCAGGGAAAAAGTCAAAGGCCTTACGACCTCCATTCCAGTTTCATAATGAAAATAAAACGTAATCAATAATCCGGTATATTCCTGAAACTCGGGTTCGTGTAGCAAAAGTTTCCCACCAAGTTACGAGCGGGTGAATCCCTCAAAAATCCGGACTTTTGCCTTCAGGATTTCTTAAGGTAAATTATATCCCCGGGCTCCCCCGTCCCACAAAAAAATGGAACGACAAACATTACGTTCTCCCACTAAGTTTCAATTGTTTACGTGTCGCTAAATATAAAGAGAGGTCAGCCCTCACGGCGAAAAACCAGAAATGTGTGGGGAAGCAGTAGAGACAGCTCTTCGCTCTCTTCTGCGCCTCGTTATTGACGGAGAATTCAGACTGAAACTGTGATACAAGACGTTGCACCTCATTAATGTGCCTGGACCGTAGAGACTACATGTCCGTTGGGTAGAGATATTGAAATGAAATATCTTATGTTCTTAATTATGTAAAATTAGTAGTTTTGGTTTAGAAATTAATTACAAATACAAGACGTGTCTTGTCAGCCGAATCCTATGAGAAAATCCAAAAGAAGAACTGTCATAAAGAACCCTCACGTAAAACCATCACCAAAGAATGTGACGTCACTTCACAACGTCACGGTGTCAACTAACATGATCACCGTAAGATTGCGTGACATCCCACAAATACGTAGCATCTAATTATTTTTCTCTAGACATTCCAGGCTCTCCTATCTTCGTTAGCAAGATCAAGCTAGTATAATATCGATTTTAGTTTTCTCTCTTCCTACCCTCTCCCCGAAAAGGTAGCGACTAGTCCCATTAATAAAAACTTACTGATCTCCTGACTGCCTGTTGCACTTTAGAATGAAAGCAACTAAAAAACTACTTTATAAAACACCTTGATGCCTAAATTTCTGAAGTACTGGATATCTATGTTTCGGTAGCTCATTTTTCCAGTCTTCAGTACTCAGGGGTATTTGATATATTTTCAACGATAAAAACAACACAGTGCAGATATCAGATCATTTAATTTTGCTCGATGAAATAGAAAAGTATGAGCAGCAAACAACCCGTAACGAGTGATTATGAAATGCACCTAAAAAAAAAAGTCAGAGTACCTGAGAAACGCAGGGAACGTAAGCTTGTCCTTTAGGCGCGCAAACTGTCGAGTCAAATATCTGAAGTTTGTGTTTTAAATATTTTCAAACCCTTGTGTGTATTCAGATATTAAGAGTAACCACTCATCTCATAATATTGCACACACGAAAGACGCAACATCTGTCCGATCACATAATACATGGCGTCTAATATACAACTTGTCGTGAACTAGCAAGAGTACTTTATTCAGACACCAAGAATTGCATGGCCCAGTTAGGAGTACGTGGAGTTAAAGCTCGCTCTGCAGAATCAAGAGATTCTTGGTACAATCTACCCCTGCCCGTCTTGATCTGTCTAGATATTGTACCGGCATGCGGCCGTACTTCACTATTGCGTAAGTAGATGGATGCTGTAGCGGACAGGACTTTCTTTCTTTGACCTTCCTTTGCATATACCTACCCAACGCCCACCCTCAATTATATGCTTTGGCTCTGTGACTCACCACATGTCCCCGGCATAGACGAAGGACGCAGAGTGTCCAAGCTAGCCAACACTATGCACTCCTTAACACACAAATCATAACTTAATCCGATGCGTCCACCTTCAAGTCAGCAACCATGGGAGCTTCAGCATATGCAATCTACACACCGTAATGCCCACATCCCGATTTCACACTAGCAATTTATATAGTAATCCCTCCCCCCCCCCCCCCCTTTCACCCAGCCACCAAATCTCATCATACAAGAACGATACCTGCTATCCAAGACGTTTACCTACTGCCTCGAACATCAGATTACACGATCTATGTATACTGACTCAATGGCTGCTATTTTCCGCTTGCATCAGCACAAAATGCCCCAGATCTTCGAGAAGACTTCGAGGCATGTCTACACACTTTCACCCATCGTCAGGTACCATTCGGTGCTTCCTAAGCCATGCGGAGTTGCAGGTAATTAGCTAAGTCATGAGCTCGCCCGCGAAGTGCATATCCGGGCTCCTGTAATCCCCTGGCCTAGCCTCCCCCATACAGCGATGAGGCCTAAATCTACAAACGCTCGATCATATTTTATTACAAACAGCTCCGTGACTCTTAGTGACGCCTACCACGGCCCCATCCAGACCTGGATGTGACGCAATCCAAAAATAAAAACAAACACTTTTCTTACTTCCGCTAGGCTCAACTACAATCGACGCCGTTCCGATCCCTCATGACCTAACTGTCCCTGCGGGTACGCCAATGTATAAGATTGCTTCTACAGTGTCCGACCACCCTATCTACCCCCTTTCTCCCTAAACCCCCTCCCACTTCGCGGAGTGTCCGGATAGCGTCGAGGTCACTAGAAGATTAAACGGCTTTGATATACCAAGCCGTGAACATTCTGAACACTTCATTTATGCTCTTTAATAAAGCGTATTCATTTTCACTTTCTCTATCAGTAGTGCGTGATGCACTTTAAATATCTAGGCTAGCGGTCAAACCGCACTAGCTAAACTTTTTATCTACACGGTAAGCTATGTCACCGCACCTAAAAGGCAGACCGACCTTACCATGTATAACCACGAGCGTCATTTTTATGTGGTTTTCTTTGGCTCGGTTTGGCTCCCTTGGGTTTGGTTCATTAACTTTCGGCTTGTTCAGGTTGGTTTCGTTGGATTCGGTTTTGTTCTGTTTTGTTCAGCTCGGCTTGGTTTGGTTCGGCTTGGTTTTGTTCGGTTAGGTTCGAACACACCCAAGAATGTGCCCACCTCAGCCATGAATCGTCGATTGAAGAGGGCGCAGGCTTCGACGCGCGCCAGCAAGGCCTTGGTGTAGTCGTAGCTAAGGGCGCCCCCTGGCAGCTGACCCCGGGTCTCACGGCAGGGTGTCAGCACCGAACCGGACTCGATCCGCAACTGCTGAAGCTGTGCGGGCGTCGCGAGGAACAACAGCAGCCCCAGTCCTAGCACCGCGGTTCTAGGTGTCAGGTCCCCCTCGCAGGGCACCGCTTCACCTAGAGCAGGTGAAAAAATGGCGCTCTTTAAAAACGTGCGATGCTTTGTAGACGTGTAGAGAAACGCGTTTTCAAACGATACCGGCACCGTGTTTCTAATCTATAAACTCAGCTCCGAGTTTTTATTTGTATGCTGCACAAGACGATAGTAAATGCCTCTGCACATAAATTTTTCACGTCATCGCATTGAGATGAGCTCACAGATTGGACACCAGGGCTTCTTTCGCCTGAGACGCCTGTCCGGTAAACGGATCAATGGATGCTCGGCATCGGGCTCGAGTCCAGTTGGTGAGTTGTCGCCAGCCGACTGTGATTAAGTTCTATAGAGGGAGAGAAGGATGTTCGCAGACCATGACTATTCTGTATAAAGCTTCAAGTTACGTTTAAGCGTAGCGGACCACCTGCAGGCCCTCTTAGCCAATCCAGCTCTTTGAACGTAGCACGGTATACGCTTTCCGTCCGTCACTGCACCCACTCTCCAAGGTCACGTAACACCAACACGGACTTCGACTCCGACGGCTCATAGCGTCTGCTGCGGTCGTTCGTAAGATGAGTAAGAGAATAGGGACTACTGGACCAAAATGGTTAAGGGGTGGATGACGTGTATTAAAGATTTATATCAGGGGTGTAAAATTTTCGAGTATACTTTACCGCCAGCTTCCCAGATCAACGCATTAATGCCGAAAATAAATCGTGCAGAAACTTACCAGAACGGCGCTTTCCTTTCATCTTCTCTTGTGCGAGAAGTGCTGCCGATCAAAGATTTGCACTTCAAGCTGCCCTCGTAGGCGGGGCTGTCTTTTATACCCACCGCAGCGAGTTTTGTGGGCGGCCTTGTTATTGACGGTAAATACGATCTATACAGGACTCGGAATTAGACGCGGTGGTGAGGATTAGCGCCTGGATAAGGCCTCGCGAGTGGCTAATCAGAAGCATCTGTACTACGCTCCCTAGAGAGGTAAGGGTTTGGAACACACTAATTGTGACTAGGTCAAGTCCGTAGACGTATCGAACCTCACACTCTGTGGCCTGATAGACGCAGAGCCCCCGAACGCCTGCTGATTGGTCGAATATGTATATTTTGTTGCTGAATAAGTATTGTTTGGCACTTAAGACAAGGTCAACGTCTCTTTTTCTCGTTCTATTTTTAATGGACCCATTCGCATAAATCATCTAAATGAGTAAAAACAAGTGCTAAAACATTGGGGTGGGTGCCATGTTAATTAGCGGCTCTATTCACCGGAGTTCCCGGCTCACAAATAAACAAAGCCCCCTTCCCCTTTCCCCTTTTCCATAGTTCTTGAGTTGCAGTTTTTAATAACAATGAAGTGTCACAAAACAAATCGGACTTTGCACTTTTTTTTTCTACAAAATTGGACCTGATACTGACACACCCCTTTTGATACGAGTTATAACAAAATAAGTATGATCACAAAAGGCTTAATAAAAAAAAATGAAAGCCGTTTACAAATCCCTGTAACGCCGAATTGGAGCGCAGCTCTTGAGGAGAAGTAGGGAAGGGTACTGAGGGGGGTCACGTCACCTGCGGGTAGTCACGTGACCCCGAGGGGGTCACGTGATCTTGGGGGAGGGGGGGGGTCACGTGAAACCGGGGGGGGGGGTCACGTGACCTCGAGGGGGGTGTCACGTGACATCGGGGGTCACGTGACCCCCCACCCCAGTTACGCCGACGCCGACGGCGACGCCGCTCAGCCTGGAAACGGGCCCCTAAGAGCTGCGCTCTAAAAAGATATTCACAACACCCTGTAACGCCTAATTAGAGCGCAGTCCTTAAGGAGCAGGAGGAGGGAAGGGTACTGAGGGGAGGGAATACCCCTCCTCCCTCCTCCTCACATCCTACTCCTCCTCCTCCTCCTCCTTCCCTCACCCTCCTCCTACCATCCTCCTGCTCCTTCACTTGCTCCTCCTCCCTTCATTCTTCAAGCTCCTCCCCTCCTGTCATCCTCCTCCCCGTCTCCCCCGCTCCTCCTCCTCCTCTCTTCTCCTCCTAGCTCTCTTTCCTTCTCCTCCCCCATACTTTCTCCTCCCCCTCCTCCTACTCGCGCTTCCTCCGGCTCCCCTCCTTCTCTTTTCCCTCTTCCTTCCGTCCCCCTCGTCCTCTTCCCCTTCGTCGTCCCTCCTCCTCCTCCCCGAGCGTTGCATCATGGGAAATGTCCCATAGTGCACCGCGCGGGACGCTGGTAATGTCACACCTGACGTCACGAGTCACGTCACGAGGGACAGGACCTGCGTGGTTCATTATGGGTCATTTCCCATAATGCACCGCGCAATTATGCCGACGGGGACGCCGCTCAAGCCGGAAACGGGCGCCTAAAGCGTGGTTCACATGCAGCGGTTTTGGCCCTAGAGCGGCGCGATTTCTGCCGTCGCGGCGCGCTGGCCAGCACCAGCGGTTGAGCGGCACGAGCGCCGCGACGGCAGAAATCGCGCCGCTCTAGGGCCGAAATCGCTGCACGTGAAACACGCTTCAGAGCTGCGCTCTAAAAAAGAAACGACGGGCATGGTTTATTATGTTTACGCTTCTCGTTCGCGGTTTGTTAATGTGAAGGCATTAACTGTCTCATGGAGCGAGCTGACGTCATCAGTTTGAAGCTCCAAAACGGCTCCTGGTTTCCGCGCCTACGGTTCCATTGGCTGGCGCGCGTCGACGGGGCTCCCATTGGCCGCTGCGCCATGGCCTCCGAGATCCCGAAGCGCGCACGTTCTAGTTCGCAGCAGACAGCAAAGGGAGCGGACCTAGCAGACGACAAAGGGAGCGGACGAATGACTTGCATGCTTTCGCATTCACAACTCATAAAAAATGCGTAGGTGTACCTCGAGCTTTTCTTCGGCCTTCTTATCGGATGATGACAATATCTGATTGGCTGCGGATTGATAATTAGATGCATGGAGCTGACCGCGCCCTGCGCTCCTCGGGCTTTCGGTGGCGGTAGTGTTTCTAGTCAGGGGCGATTTTATCAATGACATGGACCACGTATCACCGTAATTACTTTTAATAGAGTTAGAAGCCCAGGGTTCCTAGATGCGAGTAGAGGTATCGCATTTGAAAAACGAACTCAAAATTCACGCTAACGCTTCTCAGTATTTCTAAGGCCCCCAAAACACCAGATCACTCCAGCCACACCTGGTGGCTCCGGTCAAGAGGGGTGGTGGTAAAGGTGGTATTTTTAAAATAAACGGTTTCTGATCTGATCTTAGGCTCCCAAAATGCTAGACAGGTTTTGGTAGAGGCATTGAGTGTTTATAATCACTGGCTTCTTAGGATATACGGAGATTTGAGAATCCCGGACATTTGATCAAAGCTCGGCAGCCAATGACACTGCGGCATTACGCAATGAGGGTGATAACCCAAGCCCACCAGTTCCTAAGCTCTCAGGGACTCTGGTCGACGATAGGATAGGTGTTGCGGCAAGGCTCCATGTATATCAAGACCTATTCCTCCCTACCTAATAATCGTTTTCTTCGTATGTATTTTATACACGATAAAATGAATAACTGCATTTTGTGTATACTTGTACAACCGGAAATTAGACAGCCTCAAGGGGAAACGTCTCTCTCAGCCCAAGGTGAGAAATTTAGCCACTGCAGTACAACTGCTAGGCTGGTGCCCTTAAGGCTGCGGTCCCACGGCAGCCATCTTGAACAAGGCGTTAGTTCAACCAATAGATGGCGACACGCACCCGTGGGGTGGCCGAAACATTGGTTCACAGTGGGATGGCTCGAGCACCATCACGTTCCCCTCGTGGCCTTGCTCGCGCCGCTGCCAGCTGTGCTCAGCTAGCTCAAGTAGCGTGGCCCAGCAAACGGATGTATGCCAGAATGTCAGGCTGGGTATAAATTGTTCTCTGATATACGGAGATGTGGTTCGGCGGTTGTAACGGGCTTTCGCAATAAATCTTACCAAGAAGGAATCAAATGTTGATTGACGTGTCAATATTCTATCAATGAAAATTTCCTCTGCAGGAATGCACGCTTAGTAGACTCAACCACTGGAAGCGGACGTCAAGTAAACTGCTTCGCGATTTACGGTACTTACCTCACCATTTTAATGACGAATAAAATAACGTCACGAAATATTGTGTTTCACGGGGTCCGGAAGATGTTGTAAAGGTTGTTACATTATAGTTCCCGTAAAACAAACGCCGTTGCAATATTTTCGGAAGTACCGACACACATAATGTTGTAAGTACAGCTCAGGAAAACCATCAGAAGAAATAGGAAGACGTTTATTTGCAATGAAGTCGCTATGAATGAACGGCGTTTAGCGACGGCAAGTTATGAGCGTTCGGGAATTTATAAGTTGACGTGATTGCTAACTATGGACATGCGAACAATGAAGACCAGTTTTGTCGGGAGATGGTGTTGCGGTGATGACCTGATATCGGACGACTCATGACGAACAAGCAAGTTTCTTCTCAGCGAATGGTCAGTGTCCAGTGTCAAGCACACCACGTGGCTACTAACGTTGTCGACGTTTCGAACACTTGCCGTTTTCGACAAAAGTCCTGGCACCTGGGCTAACTTTGTGGAAAGACTCGAAGTCTTCCTTGAATCCAACGCCATCATGAACAGTAACTGAAAACGATCCACTATTCAGTCGGTGGGTGGCGAAACGTATCCATCTACGGAGTCATGGGCGATGCGTGCTCTAAGTGGCTGGAAGTTTACATGATGCCTCCCACGACGTCCAAACACGTCATTGACGTTCTACGGTCTCTTTTACCTACTTTTGCCCTACCGAAAATACTTTTCTCTAATAACGCGCAAAATTTTGCTCGAAATAAAATAAACAAGTTTTTGAAGAAACAAAACCGGCATGAGGCATCACATTAGTGCACCATACCATCTTGCAACTAACGGGCAAGCAGAGCAGATGATGTGCGAAACGAAAAAAAGCCCTTTTGAAGCTTACGGAAGAAGCAGTTCAGTGAAGAATCGCCAGGTTCTTGTTCTGGCAGCACGCGATGGTCTCATACAAA